TAAGTCCAAAGGTTCACATACTTTTTCCTCCCTGCACTGTGAATGTTTACATGTTATGTGCAATTAAACCATGGCAACATCTAATGTTTGTGTAGTATTATGTTCAGCAGACTGTGTTCTTCTATTGTTGTGACTTAGATGACGTTCAGAGCACATTTTATGCCCAATTCATGCAAAACTCCACATAATCCCAAGGGGTTCACATACTTTTTCTTGCAACTGTAGGTGTATGTGGATTATTATTTTATCTTTTTTTATGCTTCTTTTTTCCATATTCATTTCTATTTTTATTTATTTCACTTTATGACTGCATCCTATACACAGTAAGTGACAGATACACTTTCAAAGGCCATCAGGACCCCCCCCCCCCCAAGTGTGTCAGAAGCCGATCACTGACGAAAAGCCTGTATCTTCATTTGCTGGGTGTGCAACCAATCAAGTCACATCTATGTTCAGTGCAGAGGCCATAGTTTGAAGTTAAAACTAGATTGCTTTAAACTGTGAATGGTCAAGTACATACATCAATGGCCATTTGAGTGAGGTTACAGTTACTATGCATCTAATATGTCCTTGGCAAAGCACGGAGTTTATCGTCACAGCGATATTCTGAAGTGGCAATTGACATTTGTGCCTGTCGCACTTTACCCTAGTAATAAGAAAGTATGTTTTGCAAGCATATTTCTTGTTTTACACACAGTTTTTTTGCTCAACCCGGCGGGCTGAACGAAAAAAAAAAAAGAAAAAGAAAAGAAAGAAATTATGTTAGTACAGCGATCTCTCCCACTGTGCCTTTATGTTCAGACAGGGGTCTCCCTCCACTGGTTGCGAGCGCTGATCGGATGTTGGTTTTCCAGTGTGTCCCTCCAGCAAAAGCTGGTCCTTAGACCAGCTTCTGTTGGCAGGACAGCTGTACACATGTCCCGAATGCTGGCCGGTTTGTGCTGAACAGGCCAATATTTGGACAGTGTGCACCTAGCTTTAGAATGACAGCATAGTCCAAAACAACAAAGCCATGATTGCTTTAAAGCAGTGCTCTCCAAACTTTCTAAACAGAGGGCCAGTTTTCTGTCCTTCAGACTTTAGGGGGGCCAGACTGGGGCCATTGGGAGTAGAAAGGGTCCCGACATCAGTGGAAAAAAAACAATGCCCCATCTTTCATGCCAGTGGGAGGAATTGTGCCCCATCGCTGGTTTCACTGGGAATTATTATGCCCCATTATTGGTGTCATTGGGCCCCATTGTTGGTGTTAATAGGAGAAATTGTCACCCATCATTGGTGTCATTGGGAAGAATTGTGCCTCATCATTGGTGTCATTGGGAAGAATTGTGCGTAATCATTGGTGTCATTGGGAGGACTTGTGCCTCTTCATTGGTATCAGTGGGGGGAAATTATGCTCATTTGTTTTTATTAGTGGATAAAATAGTACCCCAAGGGTCTGATAAAAGCAATCAAATGGTCACATATGGCCCCCAGGCCACAGTTTGGAGACCACTGGTTTAGAGTGATGCCCCACCGTTTCTCAGTCTGAGTGATGCTGTGCAGGGAATACATGTCATATCAAGACATATTCAGGAAGTTATTCTTGTTCTATTTAAATATTTCAATCTGTTTATTGCAGTTTTAAAGAATAATAAAAAACACATACGAAAAAAGATAGAGAAACATATATGTGCATAAGGTCATTAGCCATGTATCTTGACAAATACAGCTGGTAAATCACCCAGGAGAAAAAAAAAGGGAAGAATGTCGAGAGCAGTTAGGAAGGCATTCTCTCACGCTTCAGTCCTCTGGTGATAGATATCGTATCCAAGGTTGCCACATCTTATCAAATAAATTCTGGTTGGTATACAGAGATCATGACAACAGTAGCTTTTCTGTAACAAAACTTGATCATCGACTGGTTTTAAACACCACGCTATGGCTATTCTAGCAGCTGGTATCGTGTTCGGGATTTCAATATCCTGCTCTAAAAGAAAGAAATCCCTGGTAATCTAGGAACATTCACATCAGTAACCAAACAGATCATGTGAAAAATCCAGATCCAAAACCTTCCTGAAACACTGGGGAGAAGCCTATGCCTTCTTGTTCTATTTAAAAACATACTACAATTATTTACTTATGAATACATGACTTAATTAAACTGTGACTTCTCTTTTTAATCCAGCCTGGAGTGTTAAAGGAAACCCGGTCGGACAGGAATAGAGAGGTTGCCACTGCAGGTCCCCTTCTGAAGATGCATACTTGTCTCGAACCAGCAAATCAGAAGTACTGTCGACACAAGGCCAGCATACGAAATCAGCAAAGGCAACCTCCATTTTTCTTTTGCCACGTTTCTTTTAAAGGTTAAGTTCACCTTTTGGGGAAAAAATAATGAACGGACATATTTTTGCAGGGAAAAAAAAAAAGTGCATTTAATATTTTTTCCCTAAGAAGCCTGCAAAGCATTGCACCTGTGATTATTGGATCGGGGACAAAGCTAGACTCCTGCACACAAGCCCTGCAGCTTTCAGTACAGCCTGTATACGGGCTGACTGTTTACAAGCTGCAGGGCTTGTGAATGAACTAGGAGGCGCTCATTAGCAACCCTGCAATCCATTCAGAACTACAAGCCATCACCCCCAAAGGCTGAATGAATGATGTGGCCATGTGGACGGAGCCCTGCACAGCCACAATATTTTTGAACAGTGACAGTGGGCGCAGGGGAGAAGTTCCCCCGCTCACACTCAAAATGAGGGGAGAGAGCGGGAGAAGCTGCAGCTGCTGAACCATGTTACATGTTCCACCTTAAATACGGATGGAACATGTAACATGTCTCAAAAAGGTGAACTCCAGATGAATACACACATTAAATACATATATGGCAGGGGTGGGCAACTGTGGCCTTCCAGCTGTTGGTGAACTACAAGTCCCATCATGCCTCTGCCTTTGGGAGTCATGGTTATAACTGTCAGTTTTGCAATGCCTCATGGGACTTGTAGTTCTACAACAGCTGGAGGGCCACAGTTACCCACCCTTGGGATCTGTTGTATGTGTCAAAGGACTTATATTTCTGTCCATCCAGTCCTAAGATATACACAGCCCTTCCAGACAGAATATCTGGCCTGGTGAACTTACTTTTCTGCATTTAAAACTTGGTCAATCGGCCAACAAACTGTGACTGAACAGTAAAGCAGCAGCAACAACCCACTCTGTCACTCCACCACCTTGTCAGTGTTGTATTTGCATGCAGTACACCTAACTGGCCCCTAGTTCTATTAAAATTCAGGGACTTACACTACTTGCATTAACCACTTGCCCTCCTGAGGATTTACCCCCCTTCCTGACCAGGGCATTTTTTGCATTACGGTGCTGCATTACTTTAACTGACATTTGCACGGTCGTACAACACTGTACCCAAATAAAATTTACATCTTTTTGTTCCCCACAAACTGAGCTTTCTTTCAGTGGTATTTGATTGCTTCTGCGTTTTTAATTTTTTGCACTATAAAAAAGAAAGAAAAAAAAAAAAGTCCAACAATTTTGAGAAAAAAAACAACATTTTTTACTTTTTGCTATTAAACATGTCTAGTAAAGAAATGTAAAAAAAAATCAAATTTCATCATAAATTTAGGCCAAAATGTATTCTGCGACATGTCTTTATTAAAAAAAAAACCTAATATGTGTAAATTAATTGTTTTATGTGAAAGTTATAGCATTTACAAATGGCGGTATATATACTGGGATTTTATTATTTTTTTTTATTTGTAATAGTAGTGGCGGCAATCAGCGACTTATAGCAGGACTGCGGCGGACATTCTGACACTGGGGGGAATTGACTGGGTGTTGCTGATGTCCCCAGTGACACCAATACAGTGATCAGTGCTACAAAAAAATACTGACACTGTACTAATGGCACTGGGCAGGAAGGGGTTAACATGAGGGGCGATCAAAGGGTTAACTATGTGCAGGGAGTGTTTTACTGGGGGGTAGTGTGTGTATGTGATTCACTGTAATCACACTGCTCTGGATGGCTGTGCTGTGCACAGCCATCCAGAGCAGTGTGCTCGAGCTGACACGGAGGACTGTTAGTAAACAAAAACAGTCCTCCTTCCCGTCGGTGATCGTCGGAAATCACCAGGCTCCGGCGAGTAATTACCGTCCGGGGCCCGGTGATTGACAGCTGTGGAAACCAATGGCGGCGTGGGTAGGGCATGCGTCCCCTACCAGGAAATACAAAATTACGTATATATGTGCTCCCGTGCCACCCTGTAGCAGCATTTCTGCTATAGGGTGGTCAGGAAGTGGTTAAAAACATTTTTTTTTATTGAATTTAAAGTGTTACTAAACCCAGGACCCTGCATTCACTATATCTGGTCTCCCCGGACCCTGCATTCACTATATCTGGTCTCCCACAGTACACAGAACATGCAAGTGCAATTTTTTTTAGTAAATATAAACTGCTAAATACCTTTTCTCATCAGCAGTATATAGCAGTCTTGTGATTTCTATCAGTGTCCAGCTGAGCACTGGTTAAAGCTTGTTGGAGAAGTTTTCCTTCTCCTCTGATTGTCCAATGAGATTGCATAACCCCTGACCCCCTGTCTGGACAGTGCTGATTGGCCCTGTGCTGATCACATGCACTCTGCCAAGAAAAGAAAACTCTTCAGCAATACACACCAAACTGAGCATGTGCAGCTTCCCCCAAGGCTCTGGTTCTATCAGCAGATGGATTGGAGACAGTAGAAGAAGGGGAGGATCAGAGAAGACAAAATCAAACAGCCTTTTTGCACTGTACAGAGGATTAACCCCTTAGTTCCACAGTAGGTATAACAAGAATGCTTTACTGCATATACTGACTGATTTTACTGATGTAGGTTCAGTAACACTAAGTATAATGTCTACCTTCCCCACAGCATTCCATTGCAGCATTAGTTAACCAATAAATTACCAGTGTGTTTTCACCTATGAACAGACCATCTCCACCTCTGCTGGACAATGACGATGCATTTATTCTTGCTTACCGTAAACCAGATCAACCGGATTAGGTTCAGACTTGCAGATGAGCTCCAGCGTAGGAGAATCAGAACGCGTGCTACGCAGGACCCCTTCCCTCACCACAGCACGGTGCTCCACCACCTCTATGTGCTGATCCTGAATCAAAACCACCGGCTCCATCTGCTGAACCCCGACTTCCTCCACCTCACACTTTGGTGCTGAAAGGTAGAAGGAAATATGGTTAAGTTCTAGAATGGACAGGAAAGAAAACCTGTTGGCAATATGGCACCATATTATGGTTAGTCTCAATCTGGTAACTATTTCAGGGAAAGGAAAGTTTTAGGTCAGTGATAGCTTATTTAACTTGAACTTATTTATATAATAGCATGTAAAGACTAATTCTGGGCAGCAATATGTTTTAAATATACCCCCTCACTTAATGCTCTCCTTTTCCAGGGGATCAAACATAATATTACTTGCTTTAATCCAGGGACCTATGGTACCCCCCCCAATCCAGGGACCTATGGTACTCCCCCCCAATCCAGGGACTTATAGTACCCCCCCCCCCCCCCCCCATGGATGTGACAGTCAGTCCCCCAGAGCCATTCTTCTTTCCAGTCTTTGCTCCACATATCACTGTCACAACATCCTATTCTGCTGACTCGGCCTATTGTCCTACTTGATGATGCAGATGGTCAGTCCGCATCCCAGTGCTGGAGAAAGAGGACCTGAAGTGAAGACGTTACGTCATACTAGACACATGGGGCAAAAAAATCAGTTGGGGAAGGAGGGGGGATATTTAATTATTTTGATACTTTCAGAGTTCAGCTTTAAGTTTACTAGAACAAGTGTGCACACTCTAGAACAGGCAAGGTTGAGTATTTTACAAATATTAAATATTTAAGTGGGTAAAATGTGCAGGAGAGCAGTGCAGATGGCACTATGTACAGTGGGCTCTCTTGCTCACACCATGCTGGGGTGGGATCTCCTAGAGCAGCGGTTCTCAATCTGTGGGTCGCGACCCCTTTGAAGGTCGAACAACCCTTTCACAGGGGTCTCCTAAGACCATCGTAAAACACATATTTCCGATGATCTTAGGAACCGAGACACCGCTCCTCTATTAGTCTCCAGGCGGGTTCGCCCACATGCAGATACGTCCACATTTCCCTGGACCGCGATGTGTGCGCGGGATGACATGCCGCCCCTGTCATCTGGCCACATCCCCGGGATCAATCAACAGCTCCGCCTCCTCGCCAGTGATTGGCCGCCGGAACTGTAGCTCAGGAGAGGCACACAGACGGCCAATCACCGGCGAGGAGGTGGAGCTTGGAGAGGTGCAGCCGAGCAGCAGCGCGAAGATCAAAGAAGATCGAGCGAGGGAGCGGCCGGAGAGGGAAGACAGCTGACAGGTAAGTGTCTGTAGCATGCAGATGGTGCTGCTGCAGCCAGGTATGCTGGTTGTAGATGGGAGAGGGAGGGAGCGAGCCCAGGCTGGAGCAGGAGTCAGCAAGGTAAGTATCATTGGTGTCAGTGGGAGGAATAGTGCCCCATCATTGGTGTCACTAATAACAATGATGGGGCACTATTCCTCCCACTGACACCAATGATGGGGCATTATTTCCTCCCCCCCCCCCCCCCCCCCCCACTGACACCAACGATGGGGAACTATTCCTCCCCCCACTGACACCAACGGTGGGGCACTATTCCTTCCCCCCCACCCACCATCGATGACACCTCCCCACTGATGATGGGGCACTATTCCCCCCCACACTAGTATCAATGATGGGGCACTATTCCCCCCCCCCCTCCCCCACTGACACCAACGATGGGGCACTATTCCTCCCACACTGACACCAACAATGTGGCACTATTCCTCCCACTGATACCAATGATGGGACACTATTCCTCCCACTGATACCAATGATGGGACGCTATTCCTCCCACTGATACCAACGATGGGACACTATTCCTCCCACTGACACTGACACTACTCAGTGATGATGTGGCACTACTCTTCTCACTGCAAAAATTACAGTTATGAAGTAGCAAGGAAAATAATTTTATGGTTGGGGGTCACCACAACATGAGGAACTGTATTAAAGGGTTGCGGCATTAGGAAGGTTGAGAACCACTGTCCTAGAGTCAGGCAGAGTACAGACACCTGGTTCATTTGTATTGCCCACCCCAACACCTTTCCTTCCAGGATCTCTGCTGCAGAAGTCCTGGGCTGTGAGGAAGCCCAGTATTGGTGAAGCAGAGAGCCCGGGAGCAGCAGCGCATGAACGAATGTTAAGGGAAGCCGAGAGTCAGGTTTGATGTATGTTTAAGAAAGGCTCTGTAACAGGACTGCAGATACCCTAGTTGTGCTCCCCCAGCTTGGAAACATCAGATGGATGGATCATTAAAGATGGGGGGAGGGGTGACACCACAATGACAGATCTGGGGTAGGGGTGTAGAACTATGAGGACGTTTACTGCTGGGAGAGGAGATGAGCTGTAGAGAGGAGAACTGCCGAAAGGGGAGTTGTGCTATGAGGAGGTGTACTGCTAGGAGAGAAGAAGAAGAAGAAGCTGTAGAGAGAAGACTGCCGAAAAGGGGAGAAGAAGAGCTATGGGGAGGTGTAGAAGAAGAGAGAGCTAAGAAGAGAAGAAGCTGAAAAGAAGAAGAAGGGGAAGTGTACTGCAGAGAGAGAGAGAAGCTGTAGAGGAGTACTGCCGAAGAGGGGAGAAGCTATGAAGAGGCTGTAGAAGCTGGAGAAGAGGAGAAGAGCTGTAGAAGAGGAGTAAGCTGAAAGGGGAGTTGAAGCTAGAAGAAGAGGTGTACTGCTGGGAGAGGAGAAGAGCTAAGGGAGGAGTACTGCCGAAAAGAAGTTGAGCTATGGGAAGAAGTGTAAAGCAGAGAGAGAGAGATGAGCTGTAGGGAGGAGAAGCTGGGAAGAGAAGAGAGAGAAGAAGAAGTACTGCCGAAAAGGGAGTTGAGCTAGAAGGGAGGTGTAAGAAGCTGTAGAGAGAGAGAAGCTGTAGAAGCTGAAGACTGCCGAAAGAGTTGAAGCTATGGGGAGGTGTAGCTGGGAGAAGGAGAAGAAGCTGTAAGAAGAAGAAGTACTGCTGAAAGGGGAGTTGAAAGCTATGGGGAGGTGTACTGCTGGGAGAGGAGATGAGCTGTAGAAGGAGTACTGCCAAAAGGGAGTTGAGCTATGAAGGAGAAGAAGTACTGCTGAGAAGAAGAAGAGCTGTAAGGAGGAGTACTGAAGAAAGGGAAGTTGAGCTATGGGGAGAAGTGTATTGCTGGGAGAGGAGAAGAGCTGAAGCTGAAGAGAGTACTGCCGAAAAGAAGGAGTTGAGCTATGGGGAGGTGTACTGCTGGGAGAGGAGATGAGCTGTAGGGAGGAGTAGCTGCCGAAAAGAAGAGTTGAGCTAAGGGAGGTGTACTGCTGGAGAGAAGATGAGCTGTAGGGAGGAGTACTGCCAAAAGGGTAGTTGTACTGCTAGGAGAAGAGATGAGCTGTAGGGAGGAGTACTGCCAAAAGGGAGTTGAGCTATAGGGAGGTGTACTGCTGGGAGACCAGATGAGCTGTAGGCAGGAAGTAAGCCGAAAGGGGAGTTGTGCTATATGGAGGTATACTGCTGGGAGAGGAGATGAGCTGTAGGAAGAGGAGTACTGCCGAAAGGGGAGTTGAGCTAAGAAGAAGGGAGGTGTACTGCTGGGAGAAGAGATGAGCTAAGGGAGGAAGTACTGCCGAAAGAGGGAGTTGAGCTATGGGGAGGTGTACTGCAGAGAGAGAGATGAGCTGTAGAAGGAGGAGTAAGCTGAAAGGGGAGAAGAGCTATGGGGAGGTGTACTGCTGAGAGAGATGAGCTGTAGGGAGGAGTACTGCCGAAAAGGGAGTTGAGCTATGGGGAGGTGTACTGCTGGGAGAGCAGATGAGCTGTAGGAGGAGTACTGCCGAAAGGGGAGTTGTGCTATAAGGAGGTAGAAGAAGCTGCTGGGAGAGGAGAAGCTGTAGGGAGGAGTAGAAGCCGAAAGGGGAGTTGAGCTATGGGGAGGTGTACTGCTGGGAGCGGAGATGAGCTAAGGGAAGAGTACTGCCGAAAAGGGAGTTGAGCTATGGGGAGGTGTACTGCAGAGAGAGAGATGAAGCTGTGTAGGGAGGAGTACTGCTGAAAGGGGAGTTGAGCTATGGGGAGGTGTACTGCTGAGAGAGATGAGCTGTAGGGAGGAGTACTGCCGAAAAGAGTTGAGCTATGCGAGAAGAAGAACTGCTGGGAGAGAAGAGAAGAGCTGTAGGGAGAGTACTGCCATTGTAAAAAGTGAAGTAGGACTTCAATATTATAGTATTAAGGATATCATTATCAGTACAGTCTTTGGTTATAATTAAAGTCTATGTCCAGCCATTTTTTTAATTCTTCTATAGCAGTGGTCTCCAAACTGTGGTCCATGGGCGAGATGTGGCTTTATCTGGCCCTTGAGGCATTATTTCTCCTACTGACACCAACAATGAAGCACCATTCTTTGCTCTGACACCAAAGATGGGGAACTATCACTCCCTCTTACACCAATGATGGGATAACTATTCACCAAGGAAGGGATTTCATTCAACTGACACCAACGATTGGGAACTTTCTCTTCCCACATACATCAATGATGGGATACTATTCAATCAACTGACACAAATGGTGGGGAACTTTCCCTCCCACTTACACCAATGACGAGATACTATTCATTCAACTGACACCAACGATGCGGAACTTTCCCTCCAACTTTCACCAAGGACGGGATATTATTCATTCAACTGACACCAACAATTGGGAACTTTCCTTCCCACTTTTACCAATGACGGGATACTATTCATTCAACTGACACCAACGATGCGGAACTTTCCTTTCCCACTTACACAAATGATGGGATACTATTCACTCAACTGACAAAAACGATGGGACACAATTTATCCCACTGATACCAACAATGGGACCCTACTCCTTCCATTGACACCTACAATGGGGCACTATTCCTTCCGCTGACTGATGGGGCAAGGTTTCTCCCACTAATACCAAATGATGGGGCACTATTCCTCTACTTACTAACAGGTGCTTTTTTTTTTTTTTTTTTTTTACTCCCAAGGCATTTTAAACTTCAACCAGCCATAGTCCGGCCCTCCTAAAGTATGAAGGACAGTAAACTGGCCCTTTGTTTAGAAAGTTTGAAGACCCCTGCTATA